TATTTCTGTGACAGAAGAGGCGCTAATGATGGTAAGTGTGTTCTGTGTGTATAGAGTATAGGAGATAGTTCATGTTTTAGCTTTTCAGCGTCACACGAGTGCAGATTGTACGTGTGCAGGTTTAGCGCAGCTCTTTATTTTACAGTCATTTTCACTCGTTTGGTCACTTTATTTATGTTGGTCAATTTATTTATGTCACTACTGTTGTGGTGAAAGGCTGGAAAGTGTCTTTTGGACACATGCGACTCAACTTTATGTTGCAGTAACCGGGATACTGCGTTTACATGCCACAAGTAACCCGGTTACTATCGGAATAAACCAGCTACAGTAACCCGGTTTCTAATAACCGGGATACTGCCATAACCGGGTTACTGCGTTTACATGCACCATCAAGAAACCGGGATACTCAAAAAACCCGATCATAACCGGGTTATTGATGTGCATGTAAACGCACTCAATGACTTCTCCCAGAGTTCAGCAGATATGTCAGAATTTAAATCTTTACCCCATGCCTCCCGCAGATAGAGACAGAAGTATTAAAACAGTTCACGAATTGAGAGATGAGATGTTTAGAATCAGGCGAAAGCTGTGCTCTTTTTTTTTTTTTTTTTACCGGTCTGTGGTGTCCTGGTACCCGGTGTCCCCACTCTTGTATCGTTTCTGTACATAATGTGCAGTTTTCTTAGGACATTCAGTGTATCTCCTTTTGTGTCTGTGATGTCTGAATGTGAGCAACAGTCTGCACGGCAATTTCCTTCTGGATTAATCAAGTCTATCCTTCTGTCTATCTCTTCCTCTCTATCTCCCTCTATATATCTCCCTGTACATCTCTCTGTCTGTCTCTCTCTCTTGTCTCTCTCTGTATCTATTTCACATCTTGGAGTGCCATTTTTTACTGCCTCGTGGTTCAAAACTCGACATGTATTATAAATATTGTACTGAGGAGGCAAGGCAAGTTTATTTGTACAGCACAATTTGTACCCAAAGTAATTAAAAGTGCTTTACAGAATAAGAAATACATTAAAATCACAATACAAACAAATCAAAAACTACATAATCAGCATAAAATTAAGAAGAGTGCAGAGCTAAACAGAACCTGAGTCAAAGAAGAGTCTGTCTCACATGTTCAGGCTGTTCCAGGTTTTAGCAGCGTGAATCTGAAACTCTGACTCCCCTTGTTTAGTCGTGACTCTGGGCACCAGCAGGAGGCCGGGACTAAACCAGGACTACAGCAGGAGGCCGGTCCCTGAGCTCCTCACAGTGCAGATGGTTCATATGACACTAACATGGAGACACTTGTACAAACAGAGCTGCTTTAAAGTCTCTGAGCCACAGGGGGCAGAGCAGAGACCTGAGCACAGGACTTATGTGCTCGTACTTCCTAGTTCGAGTCAGGACCCGAGCTGCAGCGTTCTGGATGTTCTGGATGTTCTGGATGTTCTGGATGTTCTGGATGTTCTGGATGTTCTGCAGCGTCTCACAGCTCGTTTGGAGAGACCAGTGAGCAGAACATTACAGTATCTAACCTACTGGAGACAAACGCATGGATAAGTTTCTCCAAGTCTGATTTAGACAGTAAACCTTTGATTTTTGCGATGTTTTTTAGATGGTAAAAGGCTGCAGATGTTATTGATTTGATGTGGCTGTTAAAGTTCAAGTCTGAGTCCATTATTACCCCGAGATTTCTTGCCTAAGTTGAAGGTTTTAGGGAGACTGGAGGTGACTGCTGACACTGCTGACAGGAGGTTCATTGTAGAATTGCATTAGGAGATTACCGTATTTTTTGGACTATAAATCACTCTGGAGTATAAACTGCACCAGACAAAGAAAAACAAAGAAAAAAACATATATAAGTCAAACTTTTGGGGGGAAATTTATTTTATGAAATCAGAGACCAGGAACCAACCATCTTGTAAGGCAAGTTAATAATAACAATAGAATAAAGAACAACAGGCTGAATAGGCGTTAATATGTTAATGTCACATATGAACAGTTCTTCAGTTCTTCAGATAAACTATAGCATAAACAACATAAGTTTAACAAACTCTTGATCTCACTCCAAATTAGGGGTGGGCGATATCTCGATATTTTAAATATATCGAGATAGTTTTTAAACTCGATATGAATTCTGACATATCGTATATATCGATATAATGCTTATATTCAATTCTGATTTCGCCGCTTCGCTTGTTTATCTTCTCTCTCGTCGCCTTCGCGCGCCCCCGCCTCCCTGATTTTGTTGCTCGTGTCTCCTTCACTCGTCACTGTCGCCATGAACGCCGAAAGTTGGTGCCAGTGAAAAGGTTCAAGCACCACGAACCTTTTCAACCATTTACAGACAAAACCATCAGCAGCACATCCTCATGTTCCACCGAGTCGCGTCCTTTAGCCCGAAAGAAGCTGAACGAGCTGAGCTGCATGAGAAGTGCTGTTTATGCAAATGAGTCATGCGCTTAAGTTTCGTTTCTGTAAAATGTAAACACACGTGCACAAAACTGCATTAAACACATTATAATGTCAAATGAGCTGATGTGGCTCTAGAGTCGTTATGTTTTATATATTGTAAAGTTTAGTTTAAAGTTTATTTATGCAGAATATTTTAATTAATAATCTGCTGCAGTGTCACTTGTACAATAGTGTTTGGAAACGTTTGGTTTGATCTGCAGTGGATTGTGGGATTAAACCTCAGAGCTCCTCACTGCTGGAACATGGATCTTTTGAAATAAGGAACATCCTGAGCTTCTTCTGCTAAATGAGCTCATGGTTCTGGTTTGGAGAACAGAGTTAATGCAAATATGAACTTGTGTTGAGTTGTTTTATTTATGAATGAAAAGAAGAAAATATGTATTATTTCTTTTATTTTACAGTTAAATTATTATTTATGTAATTAGGGTTTTTTGTAATCTTAAATGTTCCTATATGAACTGCCGACCTCTTACACTTCAGTTAAAAAAAAAGGACCTCATGGAATTTGGCAGATTTGTTTTTTCAGTTTTAGGGGGTTATTTTTTCTTGAACATATATCGAGATATATATCGTATATCGAGATATAGCAAAATATATCGAGATATATTTTTTTATCCATATCGCCCAGCCCTACTCCAAATCACTAAATCCATTCAATTCTTCATCCTCGGTGTCACTCAGTGTGTAACGGTCCCTCAGATTCAATCAAAACGCAGAGCGCTTCGACTGGTGCCAATATTTTTACTGATCTAAGCAACATCAAATAGTACCGTGAAAACTACACGGGAAAGAAAAACAGAAAACATGAATATTTAGCAATAAAATCAAATATAATAACATAAATGGTAATTAAACCAAAATTCATCACATTTACTAATACATATAAAATGAACAAACAAGTTCCTCGCTCCGCTTTCTGAGGGCTGCAAGTTTATGGTGACATGACATTTCCACATGGCTCAAGCATGGATCTAGCAAGTTCTGAATGCAGCTCTTTACTTCTGGAGGGGTGTGGTTGAACGAAGGCTAGGGCGCCATCTGCTGGACTGGCAGACATTTACACAGTGACTTCAGGAAAGTTGCATGGTGCATCCTCCCCGTTGCCGTGAAGCTGTGTTCACGGTTCCCGCTTTCTACCAGTCCCTCACGAGTTTCTCTCTCACTCCAAACTTTCTTTCTGCTGCTCGATTACTGTTTTCTTCTGCATAGTTCACTATTTGCAGCAAGACATCTGCCAGAGACATGCGCAGAAAACTGATGCACAAGACTAGAGCCTCTCGTGGCTGTTAGTCTGAAAATTTTAATATACAAGTCGCACCGGAGTTTAAGTCGCAGGAAACATCCAAACCATGAAAAAAGTGCGACTTATAGTTTGAAAAATACGGTAATAAAAACAGAACTGTCGAATACACCATCACTTTTTCATATTGGCTGCACTGAAACAACACCGTTAGGTAGGTTAGACAGGATTTTACAGTTTCTACACTTCTGACACTTTAAGCATCTGTTTTTATTACAGTAAAGTAGGGACGGGCATTCAATGAAATTTTCTTAATCGATCGTCGGAAGAATTAACGATCGATTAATCATTAACGTTTTTATATTAAAATGATCATCATTATTATTACTATCTGCACTAATCTGCATAAATAAATTCAACTTTACGACAAATAAACCGTAACGACTCTAGATCCACATCAGCTGTTTGACATTATAATGTGTTTAATTCAGTTTTGTGCAAATCTCACAGAAACGAAACTTAAATCCGCATCGCTAATTTGCATAAACTAAGTGAAGATAAAACTCCAGCTCTTGTGTTGCTGATGTGGTTCAATTTCTGTCAGATTAAAAGACATGACTCAGGTGAATACAGGTCAGTGTGACCAGATTTGCGTTTGTCAAAACCAGGACAGCGTACGGGGGGAGGGGGGCGGGGCCTCGTCATCCACATTGAGCGACTCTCACCTGGACAAAAACTTTTTCCCACTGGACACAGAAACATATGTGCTGCTTTATCCACTGTGCACATGGACTCACACTTGTCCCAACGCAACGGAAAGTGTGGAATTTCTTGTACAAATCATCGTTAAATCCACATTTGTGCTTCGGTTCGTTACAGACTGACCCACTGTTTGTGTCTCGCTCCTTCTGATGCAGAGACACATGTACACACCTGTTTGGTCACGATACACACAGCAACATACATTCGATTTCTCGTTTAAAATGAATGTAATCGATGAAATTCTTAATGATCAATTATCGATTAATCGATTAATCATGCCCATCCCTAATCCAAACCATGAAAAAAGTGCGACTTGTAGTATGAAAAATACGGTAATAAAAACAGAACTGTTGAATACACCATCACTTTTTCATATTGGCTGCACTGAAACAACACAGTTGGGTAGCTCTGTCTGCTTTTACAGTTTCTACACTTTACTGTAATAAAAACAGATGCTCAAAGTGACTTCTAGTTGACCCTGCGTCCATTCACACCCACGCCGGTCTAATCCTCCCTCTGTCTGTGTTTTCAGATTCTGCCGGTGGTGGAGGCGCACTTCCCCTTCTCTCAGGTCCCTCAGGCCTTTCTGAAGCTGGAGCAGGGCCACGCCAGGGGCAAGACCGTGGTGAGAGTGACCGAGGACGACGACGGCTCCCAGGCGGACGCGCTGGACCAGAGCGGCCCCTTGACCTCCGACAACACGGAAAATCCGGAAAACAAGGTGTACAGCCAGCAGTGACGCTTCCACACACAAACACACACACACAAACACACACACAGATCAGGGAGGAGCAATATTTATTTTGTTATTGGCCTTAAAACTTGCCCTTGAGTACCTCTGCTTTGCTTTGATTTTGTGTTTTACAGCTTAAAATAATGGCTTTACAAGGAAACAGGCATTATTTTATAACTTGGGCACACCCCGTACTCTAATCTGGCGTATGACTCCATCTACTGGCAGCAGAGGGAATTACAACAAGGCTAAAAAAAAAAAAAGAGCAAACAGTTGTAATAAACTCGCTGTCGTGTTATCAGGTCATGAGTTACGGACGGAACAGGGTTTCTACCTTTGACGCAACAATCCTGGGAAAATTCCAATCCTGTATTTTCTTCAGTTCACATTTTTTTCCAGATAAATTTAAGGAAAAACAACTCCATGTGTGTTTTGATGAGGGAACAATCATCTAAAATAGCTTAGAAAAGTCAGTTTGGCATAATCGTGTTTTATTTTACAGGGTTTCAAAATACGTGCGTTTGTTTAGAAGTTTAGAAAAGAGATACTGCATGCATCTTGGCGTTTATGTTGCTTCAATTCAGAAATATTTTTGTTGAATTGAGGCACATTTGTAGCTTTATTTGTGTTATTATGTTAATGTTTTAGTTTGGGATTTGAAGAAAACTGAAAACCTCTGAAAAAGCCAAAAATTTGAGGTTGTACAAATAAACCAAAACCATTTTAGTTTGATTTCTGGCTCTCTGTTACATGGTGCTATGTGGAATTTCTGAAAGTCTAACATAAAAACAAAAGGATAACAGATTCAGGTGAAATACCACGTTTTGAGTCCAGTCTGAACTTTGCTGTAAAACCATAAAACCATCAAAAATGTCTCCTCTTCACATTTGTTTATGGTTTCTTGAGTTTGCTTATTTTACTTATTTAAAGTGATTTTTCTTTCTTCGTTGTGTTGTCAAATATTTTAAAACAACATTGTTCAAAACCCTGCCAAATACCATTGTGAGTATAAAACAAATGCACTGTAAAACATTTGTTATTGGGTTTTACCAATAAACATGGAGCTTATTCTACTGCCTCTGTGTGGTCTGTTTTTCTATTAAAGTAAATCAACAAAAATCAATATTTAAGAAATTTACTGACAAAATAATAGAGGTGGGACGAGACAAGACGAGATTTGAACATTATGTTATATAAGTTTCATGATTCAGTTTCCAATCTTGGCTCACATTTTTTAAATTTATTTGATTTCTTAGATTTGTTTCCATTCTAGCACTGTTTTTTGGAACTGTCAAAGACGTAACTCACCAACACGTGACCTGTTTTTGTCCAATATAAATGTGAATACATGGAAAAAAAATCTCACAAGATAATTTTTCTCATGTGCACGATCTTGTGGTAATTTTGTTTCGTGAGATCTTGAATCATCCCTAAAAAAATACTATGAACTTCTACACAAGCAGCTGTGAGTAAAGACATATACCTGTGACCGAAATAAATAAAAAAATAAAATAAAATAATAATAAATAAAGACATAGATATTATCCATATGACAACAGCTGAATCACTTTAACAACTTGTTAAAATACTGGACAAGAAACTATTCTCAGTTCACCACTGCACTATTTTAGATAAACTTGCTTAATTTGAATAATTTTATTGATTCTTTCCTGCTGTCTTCAAAGCGGCGATGGTGAGGCCCCTGCTGAAGAAAAGCAATATAGATTTTAATTATTTACTACCAACCAGTGTCTAACTTACCATTTTAGAAAAACTTCTTTTCATCCAACTAAATAACTTTTTTAGATGATCACATCATTTTGGAAAAATTTCCTGTGTGACATATGTTCTGTATAAAAGTCCTGCTTGTCAAAGCCTGATCCCGTCGGATCTCAGAAGCTCAGCAGGGCAGGGCCTGGTCAGTACTTGGATGGAGACACTGGGAAAATCAGGAGCCACAGGAGGCGCCAGTCGCAAAAACTGTTGTGTCCTTAGGCAAAACACTTCACCCTCATTGCCTAGTATGAAAATGGTGTGTGTGTGAGTGTTGGTCAGAGGGGCCAATGGTGCAGAGTGTCAACCTCGCTTTTGTCAGTCTGCCCCAGGGCAGCTGTGGCTACAGTAGTATTTTACCATCACTGGGTGTGGAGTGAATGAATAATGCTCTGTAAAGCGTCTTTGAGTGTCCAAAAAAGCGCTAAATAAAACTGATGCATTATTATTATTGTAAAAGACCACTGTACTCCTATGTAAAGTCTATATTTATACTGCTTGTGTATGATGTATTTTCTGTACAAAAGTCCAATCTAAGTGCCAACGTGAAGTCCTGTATAAAGTCCAATGTAAAGTCTATAATATCCATACTGCCTGAGTGTGATGTATTTTCTGTATAAAAGTAAATCAACAAGAGCGAGTGTTATGTAAGAAATTTATTGACAAAATAACATGAACTTGTAAAGTCAGTTCGATACATGGAGTGAGGCTCTTCTATACAAGCAGCTGTAAGTAAAGACATTATACATTTGATAAAATACAACGTGATAACACTGTTCAAGTCATTCGTTACAGATATTCAGACGACAAACTCCAAACTCAGAGCTCGACAGAAACACTAGCCTTCGGTCAAATAACGTAGATACACGAGACTACGGCCTTTCATTTGATAAAAACAAAATATGCACATCCACACAATCATTTTGGTACACTCAAATAATCTGGTTTTATATTCAACATTCATGCGGCTAGTCAAAGTACTAAAGGACACCGTGGTCAGTTAGCAAAGCGGGAAGCCCTTAATATTTCCTCAATTTTACTTTTGTCTATAAATGAAAGGAAAAAAAAGTCTGGACTTGTCTCGTCCACTGGGATATTTACAGTCTAGCAGTAGCAGAGGTAAAGTGCCATTTTCAATACTAGTACTCCAGCTCACAAGTCTACTGTAAGGTCCTGTAAAGTCCAAAAAGTCCACTGTAGAGTCCACGGTAAAGGTCCACGTTTACAAGTCCACCGTAAAGGTCCACGTTTACAAGTCCACCGTAAAGGTCCACGTTTACAAGTCCACCGTAAAGGTCCACGTTTACAAGTCCACAGTAAAGGTCCACGTTTACAAGTCCACCGTAAAGGTCCACGTTTACAAGTCCACCGTAAAGGTCCACGTTTACAAGTCCACCGTAAAGGTCCACGTTTACAAGTCCACCGTAAAGGTCCACGTTTACAAGTCCACGTAAAGGTCCACGTTACAAGTCCACGTAAAGGTCCACGTTTACAAGTCCACCGTAAAGGTCCACGTTTACAAGTCCACCGTAAAGTCCACGTTTACAAGTCCAGTCCACGTTTACAAGTAAAGTACAAGTCACCGTAAAGGTCCAGTTTACAAGTCCACTGTAAAGGTCCACATTTACAAGTCTACAGTAAAGGTCCAGGTTTACAAGTCCACTGTAAGTCCACGTCAAGTAGTAAAGTCCACGTTTACAAGTCCGCCGTAAAGTCCACGTTTACAAGTCCGCCGTAAAGTCCACGTTTACAAGTCCGCCGTAAAGGTCCACGTTTACAAGTCCGCCGTAAAGGTCCACGTTTACAAGTCCGCCGTAAAGGTCCACGTTTACAAGTAAAGTCCACGTTAGTTTACAAGTCCTAAAGTCCACGTTTACAAGTCCACAAAGGTCCACGTTTACAAGGTCCACAGTAAAGGTCCACGTTTACAAGTCCACCGTAAAGGTCCACGTTTACAAGTCCACCGTAAAGGTCCACGTTTACAAGTCCACCGTAAAGGTCCACGTTTACAAGTCCACCAAGTCCACGTTTACAAGTCCACTGTAAAGGTCCACGTTTACAAGTCCACAGTAAAGGTCCACGTTTACAAGTCCACTGTAAAGGTCCACGTTTACAAGTCCACCGTAAAGGTCCACGTTTACAAGTCCACGTAGAGTCCACATTTACAAGTCCACAGTAAAGGTCCACGTTTACAAGTCCACTGTAAGTCCACGTTTACAAGTCCACGTAAAGTCCACGTTTACAAGTCCACCGTAAAGGTCCACGTTTACAAGTCCACAGTAAAGGTCCACGTTTACAAGTCAACTGTAAAGGTCACTTCTTTACAAGTCCACTGTAAAGGCCTCGTTTACAAGTCCACTTTACAAGGCCACTGTAAAGGTCACGTTTACAAGTCCACTTTACAAGGCCACTGTCAAGTTCACTGTAAAGGTCACTTCTTTACAAGTCCACTGTAAAGGTCACTTCTTTACAAGTCCACTTTACAAGGCCACTGTCAAGTTCACTGTAAAGTCCTGTAAAGTCCAATCCATAAGTCCACTGTAGAGTCCACTGTCAAGTCTATTCTCAATACTAGTGCTTCAGCTCACAAGTCCACTATAAAGTCCACTTCATAAGTCCACTTTAGAGTCCACGGTAAAGGCCACTATTAAGTCCACTATAAAGTACAATGTAAAGAGTCCACTGTAAAGTCCTGTAAAGCAGTGGTCCCCAACATTTTTGCGCCACGTACCGATTTATGGCCGACAATATTTCGTGGACCGGGGGGGTTGGGGTGTTTGCGGCGGCGCTCTTAGGGACGATATTTTCACAGATCGGCAGTGTACGAGAGGAGGCGCGGTGCATAATTAACGTGGCATGGTTTAGTCCTGGTTTAGTCTTGGTTGAGTTCTGGTTTTAGACCTGGTTTAGTCCTGATTGAGTAGTGGTTTTAGTTCTGGTTAGTCCTGGTTTTAGTTCTGATTTAGTTCTGATTTACTTCTGGTTTACTTCTGGTTTAGTCCTGGTTTTAGCTCTGGTTTAGTCCTTGTTTTAGACCTGGTTTAATCCTGGTTTTAGACCTGGTTTTGTCCTGGTTTAATCCTGGTTGAATCCTGGTTTTAGTTCTCATTTAGTTCTGGTTTAGCCCTGGTTTTAGTCCTGGCTTTAGTTCTGGTTTAGTCCTAGTTTAGTGGTGGTTTTAGTTCTGGTTTAGTCCTGGTTTTAGACCTGTTTTAGTTCTGGTTTAAAGGCACGGTGTACGGGATTAGGCACGGTCCACGTGGTCATTTTTGCGGCTCGGTACCGGTCTACGGCCCGGGGATTCACTGTAAAGTCCAATGTAAAGGTCCCGATAAAGTCCAATGTAAGTACCAATGTAAGATCCTACGTAAAGTCCCGTGTAAAGTCCCGTTTAAGGTCCACTTCAGTAAAACTCCTACAGGACCTCGATGACCCACTGCTGCTGGAGCCTCTTGGGGTCCCGTGTGTTCAGAACCACCTGGGTCTTGTCGTAGTTGTGGCCTCCTGGAACAAAAAAACCCACAAGAGCAAAAGAATGAGCGAGGAAAACAGAAAAAACACAATAAACAGCAGTAAAAGTACTTCAATTATAAGAACTTTCATTTTGTTTTGAAGTAGTTTTATTAGTTTTAGACTGTTTTTGAGTTATTACCCAAACAAATATTCATTCATTCGATTATTCGAAATGATAAAAAATTACTATTACTTTTATTATTTCATTTTATTAACTGTCAGAATGTCTGTTTTTCAAGATACCCTGTATTTGATTCTGATCACACGACGATAATTATTAGAAAGTACCCTTTATTTAGACAATATAATGTGATTTTCAACATTAAATAGTAATACTTTCTTTTCTATTCCAGTTTGGTTTCATATCTGTGTGATCCTTCAGTGGTCCAGGTAGTTTTAGTATCGATTAGTATCAGAATTTCGATAATTTTGACCTACTTTTGATCTACAGTGGCGAAACGCTTTGATAACTTCCATCATTATTGAAAAGTAAAACGTCTGTAACCTTCAGAAGACGTCGTGAAAGCCTCGAGAAAGTCGCTTCGGAAGATTTAGCGCAACAAAGTGAGTCGGTTATTACGTTACACACATTACACAGCTTTTATACAAATGTCCTCCGCTGTTTTCTGACCTGCACAACACAAAGCAACTTATGAAAGACTGTGAAAGAAAGTGCTGCGAAAACAACCTAAAGTGCTTTATGAAAGTGCTGCAAAAACTAAAAACTTAAGTGCTTTAAACAAAACAACCTCAAGAGCTTTAAGAAAAAAAAAGAAAAGAAAAGTAAAGCAAACTGCACTGGTGTTTGGACTGATACGGCCACTAGAGGGCAATAACATCCCACTCTGAAACAGTGAACAAGCTGCACAAATACACACAGAAATGTAAATAGATTTCAGACCCCATCCCATGCTTTTCCGCCAAATTGAGTAATATATTGTATCGTGTAACAGTACTCTTACTCGAGTAAAAGTTACAATAATAATAAATCTTTATAAAGTGTGGATATTTTGGGGGTGAACATGTAAAACTCACCTACAGTTATTATTTATTTTACAGAAAAAGGCCTTGAAAATGATCATCCAAAACATTATTTGTTCAGCTTAAAGTGTTGAAAATGCTGGATGTTGTCGACTTAAGTCTCCTCAAAGTCATGTACAGAGCAAAGTGCAGAGTGTCATCTGTAAATATTCAAAGATGAAAACAAACCACTACAATTTAAAGATAAATCAGACACTGCGTATGATTACAGTCATTTCTTGGACTTTTTACTTCTACTTAAGTACCATATTTTTTGGACTATAAGTCGCACCAGCCAAAAAATGCGTAATGAAGAAGAAAAAAACAAATATAAGTCGTACTTTTGGGGGGAAATTTATTCTATAAAATCAGAGACCAGGAACTGACATTTCCTGTGTAAAGTCAAGTTGTAGTAAAAACAATAGAAGAGAAAACAACAGACTGTTAACGTCACATATGAACAGTTCTTCAGATAAACTATAACATAAACAACAGAACAGAACAAGTTCTCACTCCAAATCACTAAATCCATTCAATTCTTCATCCTCGGTGTCACTTCTGAACAACTCGACCTCGACCTCCGGAGGTAAACAGAGCGACGCAAACTCTTCTGTGTCGCTGTCGTCAGACTCAGCATCAGTTCCAGTTAGAATTATTCGGGTCTTTCTGAATCCCGACAGGATGGTTTCGGTGTCACTGAAGGACCTTGGTTTAGACCTCCTTTAGACCTGGTTTAGACCTGGACTAGATCTTGGTTAGACCTAGTTTAGATCTGGCTTTGACTTCGTTTAATCCAGGTCCTGATTCTGATCATGGTTAGACCTGGTTTAGACCTGGTTTAGACGGGGACTAGACCTGGTTATATTTACTGAATTATTCCAGTCTTTCTGAATCCCGGCAGGATGGTTTCAGTGTCACTGAAGGACCTTGGGTTAGACCTGGTTTAGACCTGGATTAGATCTTGGTTAGACCTAATTTAGATCTGGCTTTGATTTCGTTTAATCCAGGTCCTGATTCTGATCATGGTTAGACCTGGTTTAGACCTCAATTAGACCTAGACTTGGTTTAGGACAGCTTCCAGTTCAGACCTGGTTTAGACCTTGGTTTAGACGGGGACTAGACCTGGTTATATTTACTGAATTATTCTGGTCTTTCTGAATCCTGACAGGATGGTTTCGGTGTCACTGAAGTCCAGGCTTTGTCCATCCATCCAGTGACTTCAGGAAAGTTTCATGGTTCATCCTCCCGGTGTCACAAGTTTCTCTCTCACTCCAAACTTTCTTTCTGCTGCTCGATTTCCGTTTTCAGCTGCAGATTTCACGACTTGCAGTTTGTAAATCTGCAGAATCTGATTTTGTTTTCGGGGGCATTTGTGTTCAGTCTTCTCCGTCGTCTTTATCAGTTTGTTTAAATTTTAGATTTTTAGTAACGGTGCGATCGACTGACATGATACAGACAGGACAGAGGCTCTTTCTGCAGGAGACATGCGCAGTAGAGCCAAGTGACAGTGGTACAGGAGGAACAGGAGCAGCAGATACTCACACACAAGACTAGAACCTCTAATATAGAAGTCACACCGGAGAATAAGTCACAGGAAACACCACAAACCATGAAAAAAGTGCGACCAACAGTCCAAAAAATACAGTACATATTATTTCCAAGTAACAGTTCTCCTTCTTGAGCACAAAGGTCGTCCCCTCTTTCACCTCTTGATATCAGTTCTGCGTTTTCTTTTTCGTGGTATAAACCTTTCCTTTACAGTACTTCCTCGTATATTCTATCGTACCTGGCAATAATAACACAATCAGACGCGTCCAGTTTAATTAGGAGCAGCGATTATGAAGCAGCGCAGACAACCTTGGGCATTTGGACAGCTATTCACGTCTACATTTATTTAATTAGTGAGCTTACGACGACGTAACGCAGCACATTGATTTATTCGGAAAAAGATAATTACACAAGCTTTTCTACATTACTTCAACACAATGAGTTAATCAGCCACTTATAATTAAAACTTGAAGGCCTCATATTATAATAATGATTGTCTCTTGTGAGATTTAAGCATGTTATAATGATGTTTAGAGCCGGGTATCATTAAGAAGTTGCCGATACGATACATACCTCGATACGGTGCACTTTCGATTCAGTAAACCAGATACTAAACCAGGTTTCAGATTGATTCGATTTTTTTCGGATTTTTTTGTGAAATTCTCTCAGATTTTTTTTTGAATTTTCGAGGTCGTTCACATTTCCAGTTAACGTGTAACTGTGTGCTTGTGTGTGACCTCCAGTGTGAACTTTAAACGCCCTAAAAGTGTCCCGAATGCACACTGGAGGACACGACCACGTCACACAAAGCGAGCGACCTCAGTGTTTATGGAAGTCGCCTAAACTCTGGGTTTGTCTCCCAAAATCTGGTCCGGTTCTTGGTAAAATGGACAGGTCACACGTCCACGGTCGATTCGTTTGTTTGAGTCTTTATCCTCCTTGTGTTTGGCTCGCAGGATCTTTATTTTTCGTTGACGCTGGAGCCAGGACCGTCTGTAGCTGCGCTCGGATATTTCTTTCAATCGTTTCAAAAATCGCCCGGTGGAAATACGAACCCTCCAATCTGGCCTAAATAAGGAGATCCTACCAAATATGAATAAACTCACTAACCTCACTTTCCCTCCATTGACGAGACTCCGAGCCTGACGTGTAGGTGGGATGAATGTGACCTGACCTTTCAGACTGAAGTCGCATGTCAAAAGATCGGATATATGTCGGTTTTAGGAGCACATATCCAAGTGTCCTGGGTCACATTTGAAAAAAATCTAATCTGTGTGGTTCAGACTGATATTAAAAGATCAAAAACAGGAGCATAGGGGTGAAACAATCAGATTTGGGTCACTTCAGGCTGCAGCTGAGCGTCGTCTAAAAGCCTTTGTTTAAACCACTTCTTGTGCAAAGTTCACATGAAACACAAACATCATCAGAACAGTGAAAATGTTAAATAAATGAGTTTCCTTCCTCTGAACAAGCAACAAAACTGTAACTGTGACAAAATAATTGAGTAAAATATGCAAGAATACTCTTGGCGATACATCAGTACAGCAGCCCATGATATCGATATTGTATCATCACACTGAACAATACGATATATTGATACTTTGTAGGGGTGTAAGGATATCTAAGTCTCATGATACGATATCGTCACGGTATGAACCTCACGGTACGATATTTATTGCGATATCGTGGGAAAGCTCATGATTAGAGAACAATATCCAAATCTCTCTGTACGATATTTTCATGATATACATCTCACGGTACGATATTTATTGTGATATTTTGTGGAGGCAAATATGCTCCTTTTTCGTTTTAAAATGCCCTGACAAGACTTAATCCAAAGAACTAAGACTTAAAAGTGTTAGAACTGTTATTACCTCCACCAAGGAGGTTATGTTTTTTGTCGTTTGTCTGTTTGTTTGTTTGTTTGTTTGTCTGTTTGTTTGTTTGTTTGTCTGTTAGCAACATAACTCAAAAAGTTATGGACCGATTTTGATGAAATTTTCAGGATTTGTTGGAAATGTGAAAAGGAAGAACTGATTTCATTTTGGGGCTGATCCGGAAGAAATCCTGGATTCTGGATCACTTTGAAATTTTAGTTAACATTGTGGTAAATGGGGCCAAAAATGTTGTTTCTCAATATCTCGATTAATTATTGACCAAACCCCATGAAATTTGACTCAGGGATGGACAAGTGGGATCCTCTTTCATATTCCAAAGGCTGATCCGGAAGACTGATTTTATTGCAATTTATATAAAAATGGGGGTAGTCCTTGGCGGAGGTCTGCGCTCTCTGACTGCTTTTCTAGATTCTTCCTGTCGTCTGCACTGAAATGGAGCAAAGGATCATGGTCTATGTAGTTCCCTCTGTCTTTTTTTTAATCTATTGTTGCACCAAAACTCTTCATTTGAGCAAAGACACTTGT